AAAAAAAAAAAAGAAAAGGAAAGAGTATGGGAACAGAGCCACAGCAGCTACACCGTGAACATTCCTAAAGGAGCAAGGCAACATGTGCCTCAGGGACGCTCATCACGCCAAGGGCTCCATTTCTTTCGTTTCCCTTCATGTTAAACAAAAGTTTTGCAACTACATTCTTCATAATATTTAGCAGTTGATAAGCTATAAAAACGAGAGCGTCCGCCTACCACACCTCCCGGCAAAGTCCGTGATAAAATTATAGACCCCCTCACCCTAAGTGGAGGAGTCCCGGGCAAACTGCCCACTACAGGGATGTTCAAGAGCTCCCGCCACTGAACCTTAAAACGGCCCATCCAGGAGGCAGGGGTTGTGATTCGCACTCTACTGACGAAGACGCCGGCTCAGGAGGAATGAAGTGAACTTGGCCAAGGTCAGCGAGAGTTCCCGACGAGGTAGAGCCGCCTGGCCCCAGCCTCCCGCTCCACCGGGCCGGACTCGGCGTCCGCGTCACGGCGGCCCAAGCGCTGCCCCCGCCCGCCCCCGGCCCAACATGCCCGGGTGGCCCCGGCCGCTGCCTCTCGTCCCCGGTCCCCACATGTCCCGGGAGCCCCGACGTCTTCGCCGAGGCCCCCGCCCGCTCCAACCGCGGCCTCGACCCCCCACGGCTCGCCACCCCCTCACCGAAGCCGACCCTTCCCTCACCGCAGTACTCCGGTCGCGCGCTCGGCCCGGGCCAGACCCCTGTGCGCATGCGCGTTACCGCCCCCACGCGCGGGCGCTCTGGGCACAGAGTAGAACCCGGAAGCGGATTAGTGCCTGGGAAGGGAGGAGCGGTGAGCGGTAAACCCCGGAAAGGATGACGCTCCAACAATTCCTGGGGAAGAAGGGCCAGGAAACTTAAGCCGGTCTTGAGGCAGAACGTCAGCACTGAAGCAGGGAGGTTTCATGTCCTGCCTTTCAGCAGGGAAAGCGAGGGTGAAGGACGAAACTGGGTCCTGCACCCCCAGTTCTTGCCGCCCCACCCCCTTAGTCTTTGTCCCGTATGGGAGTTCTTCATTGTAGGTCCCTTGCGTTCACTTACTAAGAATTTACTTTACAGGCTTGGTGCCCAAAGCTTAGTGGTTAGGGCTCCAGCCACACACACAGAGGCATGCGGGTTCAGACCCGGCCCGGGCCTGCTAAACAACAATGACAACTGCAACAAAAAAACAACCGGGCGTTGTGGCGGGCGCCTGTAGTCCCAGCTACTTGGGAGGCAAGAGAATC